AAACTATTAAAACAATTGTTGAGGTACTAGGTTTTGGTAATAAGTTTATACATGTTATTTCAAAACTGTATCAAAAAAGTAGTGCAAGAGTGAAGGTGAATGGAAGGCTGACAGAAGAGATAAGATTGGAAGCGGGTACAAGACAAGGATGTCCCCTGTCTCCAACATTATTTTTATTAGTTATGGAAATTTTGACTAAAATGATAGAAAAAGATGAAGAATTGGAAGGGTATAAGGGATATAAGATAAATCTGTATGCGGATGATACTTTGATTATTTTGAAAGATATAGAGAAAGATTTGAAAAGGATACATAAGCATTTGGAAGAATTTGAGGAAATGACAGGTTTGAAAATAAATTGGTCAAAATCGGAATTATTAATGAATAATAATGGTAAGGAGTGGGAGAATATGCAAGAACAACTTGGGATAAGGATTAAAAAAACATTGAAATATTTGGGCATAACACTTTCACTCAAAGTTAAAGAAATGAAAAAATTAAATTATGATGTGGTGATGAATGAAATTGAGAAAAAGATAGATAAATATAAAATGATAAAGTTGTCTTGGTTTGGTAGAATTGCAATGTGTAAGATGATGTTGTTGCCAAAGTTTAATTTTTTATTTGAGATGTTACCGTTAAACTTGACAGAGAAAGATATTGAAGGATATCAGAAGAAATTGGATAAATTTTGTAATGGTGGGAAAAGACCTAGATTAGTGAAGAAAATGTGGTATCAAAATCAAAAGGAAGGTGGATTAGGAATCCCCAAATTACTCAATTATTATTGGGCTTATGCTATTCGGACTGTGGTAAAAATATTTAAAGGAGAAGATAGTCATTGGAGAGATTTAGAATTAAAGGACATCAAGAGATTTGGCTCAACATGGTTTTTAGATAAAGCAAAATCAAAATGTGTAATTAATAGCTATTGGTTAAAGGGACTGAGTAAAATTTGGAACAAATTTGTTAAAATTTTAATTCCAGATATAATTTTCTTAGGGAAGACAATTGAAAATTGGCCGATTAAAACTAATATAAGTCGTGATAGGGTAATGGAAGATGAAAATATACAAACTATAATAGATTGGTTAAAAACTTCAGAAAATGAAAGGAGGAAAAAAGAAATCATTGAAAAATTGGGTTTAGGCTGGTTTGAAAAAATACAGATAGAAAAATGGACTAAGAAGGTAAGGGACAATTGTTCAATAAGTAGAAGTAAAACTGAATTTGAATATTTAGTATTCCAAATTATGAAAGATGAAATTGGGCTAAAGGGACTTGTTAGTAAGATATATAAAATTATAAATTTTGATGGAAAACCACAAAGGGTGATGAAGATGAATTGGGAAAAAGAACTTAATATTAAAATATCAGATTTAGATTGGAACGTGAATTGGAAGAGTAGAATTATGAAGACTTTATCTGTAAGGATTAAAGAGCATAATTATAAGGTTGTTTGGAAATGGTATTTGACTCCATTAAGATTGTCATTGATGGATAAAAAAATTAGTAAACAATGTTGGAGATGTGATATGGAATTAGGGACTTATGAACATATGTGGTACAAATGTGATAAAGTTAAAAAGTTTTGGCAACAATTGGAGGAAATGATATTTGAAATGATGGGGAAAGCAATAATATTGAGACCAGAAACTATATTACTGTTGCTAATTAAGGAAATAGAACCAACAAAATATGAGAAAGAATTGATTAGAATTATGATTATAATGGGTAGAATTATAATAGCCAGATATTGGAAATTAGATGTGAATTTTAGAATAGAAGAATGGTATTGTGAAATGTGGAAATTAGCTTTAAATGATAAAATGACATGTGATATTAAAATTAGAAATGGTGACTATAAAGAAGACATTTTCTGGAAAATTTGGAAACCATTTGTGGACTATGCGCTGGGAAAATTGGATGCTTCGGTACCTGTACCCCGAGAATGTGGATTTTGGCGATCATGAGGATATATCCGAAGAACCAAATCTTCCTTTCTTATGTATAGCACAGGGTGAAATATTGTACATGTTGTTTGTAATGTTAGTAATTTAAAATATAAAATGTTAAAAATAAAAAAAAAATTAAAAGCAATTTGAGATTCCATAGCCCTTCATGAAGACACAATAGCTTGGTTTTTTGACCATTTTGTGTATCATTCAAAGTACTAATCATACCTGGAGATTATGCGTCTTCCATGCAAAGTTCTTTCTGTCTGACCTAATGCTAATCCCTAACCCTAACCATCATTCCAGACATTCTTCTAACTAAACTAAATCAGCTAGTGGTACCTGAACACACTTGTAAGTGGATCATAAACTTCTTAACAGACAGGAAGCAGCAGGTGAAGCTAAGCAGAATCACATCAGATACCTGTACAATTAGCCGAGGGGCTCCCCAAGGTTGTCTGCTCTCTCCACTTCTCTCTATAAACCAATGACTGCATCTCAAACAATCCATCTGTTAAACTGCTGAAGTTTGCAGATGATACAACAATGATTGGTCTCATTTGAGACAATGATGAATCCACATACAGACAGGTGGTTGATTGACGGGTATACTAGTTGGTTGAACAACTAGCCTCGTGGTGGGACCGGAACAATCTGGAACTGAACACACTCAAAACCGTAGAAATAGTGGTAGACTTTAGGAGAAACCCTCCCATACTACCACTTCTTACAATACTAGACAACACAGTATCAACAGTAGAGATCTTCACATTTCTAGGTTCTATCATATGTCAAGACCTAAAATGGACACCTAACATCAAAAATGTCATCAAAAAAGCACAACAAAGAATGTTCTTTCTGCGCCAACTTAGGAAGCTCAAACTGCCCAAGGAGCTGCTGATACAGTTCTACAGAGGAATTATTGAGTCTGTCATCTGCATCTCTATAACTGTCTGGTTTGGTTCTGCAACCCAATAAGACAGACACAGATTTCAGAGGATAATTAGAACTGCAGAAAAAACAATTATTACTAACCTGCCTTCCATTGAGGACCTGTATACTGTATGAGTCAAAAAGAGGGCTATGAAAATATTTACAGACCCCTCGCATCCTAGACATAAATTGTTTCAACTTCTACCCTCAAAATGACGCTATAGAGCATTGTACACCATAACAACTAGAAACAAGAAGAGTTTTTTCCCGAACGCCATCACTCTGCTAAACAAATAATTTCTCAACACTGTCAAATTATTCACTAAGTCTGCATTACTATTACTATTAATCTTCTCATCGTTCCTATCACCCATCTCCCCCCACTTATGACTGCATGACTGTAACTTTGCTGCTTGTATCCTTACAATTTATATTGATTGTTTCCTAATATGATTTGATTGCTTATTTGTACCCTATGACTGTCATTAAGTGTTGTACCTTATGATCCTTGACGAATGTATCTTGTCTTTTTATGTACACTGAGAGCATATGCACCAAAGACAAATTCCTTGTGCATCCAATCACATTTGGTCAATAAAGAATTCTATCTACGCTTAAGACAAAGGGAAAGGGGCATTTTAGGATGTAATTAAAAGTTTGAGAATCCTTGCTTAAGATAATTTATTCATTACTCTGTCCTCAAACTTTGAGACTACCACAGCGACCTTGAGGTTTTTAAGGGAAGTAGCATGTTTTAAATAAGTGAATAAATAACAAACATTACTACTGCCAAAATCTAGGAAAATATAGGTAGTCATCCAATTACGAATGTAATGGAACCTGCCCATTCCACTCGTAACCTAAGGATTTGTGGGAGTGAATCTCATACCTTGAACGGACTCACTCTCTCACCCACGCATTCGCTAATCAAATGTGTGGTTCATTAAGTACAAATGAGTATTTCAGACTGGTAAAAGCATTGGGGAGGGCATAGTGATGGAATAGGCTACCTGCTTAAAGCCACTCAAGGTCTCCCCAACCCTCTGAAATACTCATGCTCCCCACAATTGCTTCCTCCCCCACACCCAACCTGCCCCACCGAGTCACCGTGCAAAGATCTAGCAAGCTGTCTCCTCTCCAGCCTCTCAGCTGCATGCACCTCTCTATAGCTTCGTTTTGGTGTGCGCAGGCCTTGCCCAGTACTTTGCATGTCAAAATAGAGGGGCGGAGGGGCAGGCCCATCTCTCTGACACTCCATTTTGGCCTGCTCAGGCCTTGCCTGGCATTTTGCAAGCCAAAATGTAGTTTTGGAAAGGTGGGCTTGCCCCAACGTTCCGTTTAGGTCTGTATAGGCCTCACCCAGCACTTTGCCTGCCAAAATATAGTTTTGGAGGGGTGGGCTCACCCCAAAGCTCTGTTTAGGTTTGTGCAGGCCTCACCCAGCACTTTGCCAGCCAAAATGGAACTTCAGAATAGCAGGCCCACCCCTCTACTTCCCACTGGAGCCCACCGCTCCGATGCTCTGTTTTGTCTGGCAAAGTGCAGGACAAATGTTGCAGAGCCTCTGCAATTGTTCATAAGGTCGAACAACTGCCATGGTGCTGCATGATTCATAGTTTTTGGACTTGTTCGTAAACAGTAGGGGGCATTTATCGTGTAACATCGAACATTCGCTAAAGGAATGCTTGTAATCTGGGGATTTCCTGTATTTAGATTTGGCTTGAGTTTTGTTCTGAGGGCTACTGAAAATTATTTTGAAACTTAAAATGATCATCAAGTTTTTGTTATCATCAGAAGTGAAAAATATTTTAGATTATAATGACTAAACAAGTGTTTTTTCATATTTAGTATTTACTTTTATTAAGCATTTGTTAACTTGGCTTTATTTCATAAATACATTGTTAATCTAATACAAAATTAATATATTAGCTGTGTTTCTGTCTTTAAAAATAACCTATCATGTATATGGCTTAGAAATTTTAAATTTCCAAATTAAATCAAGCAAACCATAAAATTTAAATCGTTATATTTTATAAAAAAGGATTTCATTCATTCATAGTTTTCATACTCTTTTCAATGGAGCTATGTTCTGACTCTCTGAGTTTCATTCAGATGTTGCCAAAATCAAATGAAGCTTCCCGTCAGCATGAAAGCCACCCAGAAGAGACTGAAGAAGAATTAAGAGAACATCAGACATTTGTGGAAGACCAATACATTGACAGCACAGCAGATCAAAAGGAAATTCAAGAATTGACACAAATGGTCCGTGTGAAGCAAGAACCTGCTGAAAATGATGAAGATGGAGAACAACAAGAATTGGAACCAGGACAAAGTCAAGCAGAGCAGGAATTGCTCTTCAGACAGGTAGAATACACTAAATAACAGCATTTATTAGTTACCGTATACTAACTAATTTAGTATTTCCAGAGGCTTGTATATTTATTATTCTGTCATTTTATATAGAAAGAACATCTGGGTTGACATAATATAGTATATCAGAATGTGACTCTTTTATTCTGACATTGAATTTTGTGCAAACCCAACCTATTTGCTTTGTCTCAAATTCCTGAGTATCAAGTGACTTAACTTAACTTAACTTAACTTAACTTAACTTAACTTAACTCTAGAACATTTATTTATTTGTTTATTTGTTTATTTGTTTATTTATTTATTTATTTATTTATTTATTTATTTATTTATTTATTTATTATTTAAATTTGTATACCGCCCTTCTCCCGAAGGACTCAGGGTGGTGAACAGCCAAAATTAAAATACATACAATATAAAATTTAAAATAATTTAAAAGCAAAATTAAATCGAATTGGCTTCCCAAAAATTAAAACCCATTACCCTTAAAATAACCCATTAAAATTTTAAGCCAGCCCAGCTTACTGAAATAGAAAGGTCTTCAAAGCTCGACGGAAGGTCCGGAGGTCCGGGATTAGTCGTATTCCTGGGGATAGCTCGTTCCAGAGGGCGGGTGCCCCCACAGAGAAGGCTCTCCCCCTGGGGGTCATCAGTCGACATTGCTTGACCGACGGCACCCTAAGGAGGCCCTCTCTGTGGGACCGAGTTGGCCGGTGGGAGGTTATCGGTGGCAGAAGGTGGTCTCATAAATAACCGGGCCCTAAGCCATGGAGTGCTTTAAAGGTGAGAACCAATACCTTGCAGCGCACCCGGAAGATCACCGGAAGCCAGTGCAGCTCGCACAGGCAAGGTGTCACATGGGAGTGCCATGTCGCCCCCATAATTATCCCCACGGCTGCATTCTGGACCAGCTGGAGCTTCCGAGTGCTCCTCAAGGGGAGCCCCATGTAGAGAGCATTGCAGTAGTCCAGGCGAGAGGTGACGAGGGCATGAGTGACCGTGCATAGGGAGTCCCGATCCAGAAAGGGACGCAACTGGCATATCAGGCAAACCTGATAGAAAGCCCCCCTGGCCACGGCCATCATATGCTCTTCTAAAGACAGCCGTGCATCCAGGATGCCAAGAATTAGGGTTCAAGAATACAGAATCCTTAGAACTATGATAAGACTAATGCAAGGTTATGCCAATTCTTGATAATTTCAGTTCAAAATATATGTATTTAATTTGCTGTTTCTATTATAGATGTGAGAATGTTGATCATGTTTGGCTACCATTCAAATGTTTCATTTTATATTCTTCATTGTCATGTCTTTCATGTCTGAAGTAGAAATTTGATTTCTTTTCCAAAAGGAATACATGATAGTTGTCCCTGTATATAGAAGTATAACAGTTTATTTTTCATTGCAAAATGCAATAATATAAATTGCAAGTTTGTTCTTTTTCATAATGTGCATTATATTCAAAACCATTCTTAATGTATATTAAGGCAGAGTGACTTCTTATACTTTGTTGTACTGTTCATTCTTTGAAACAGTTAACATGGATTTTTTTTCTCTGAATATATTAAGACTGAGCAAATTTTAAGGAAAAATAAAAGATGTGTGTGAATTAAATTTATATTTACCAACAAAGAAATAAGTATAGATCTATTTCAAGCTATTTAGCTCTCATCAGCTAGCCATGCCCTTCTGGGAGTCGAACCCGGGTTGCTTACATACTAGGTAAAGCGAAAGCAGTATGCTCTGTCCCATATTTGGGTGGACCAGGTTGCCCTGATAAAAAACACTTAATGTATGTGAATTATTAATAATTCCATTTTGGCTGAGAAAAAACTTTGTCATGATATAAAAACTTCATACCTAATTAGACTTAGCACTACTGAATTACTTTGAATCTCTTCAGTATCAAATTTGTGTCACAAGAAAAATATATAGGTGATGGTCAATATTGGACAATATTCTTTCTACACTACAAGTAGTACTTGACAACCATTCCAGGGGTGGGATCTACTTACCTTTACTAGCGGTTTGAAATGGGATCGCGCGCGCGTGCGCTTTGTTCACACACACACCTTGCTTCTGTGCATGCGTAGATCACTCCTCATGACGTCAGGGACAATGGGTGTAGCCTCCCACCGGTTTTACTACCAGTTCTATAGAACCGGTCCGAACCGGAGGCAACCCACCACTGAACCATTCATTTAGTGACCATTCAAAATTAGAATAGCGCTGAAAAAAGTGACTTATGACATTTTTCACAGTTAACTGTTACAGCATCCCTACAGTCATGTGATCAAAATTCAGACACTTGACAGCTGGCATTTATTTGTGATGTGGTCCTGGGGTCATGTGGTTACCCTTTGCAACCTTCTGGCAAACAAAGTCAATGGGGAAGCCAGATTCACTTAACAACCATGTTACCGTGTCTCACCCAACCCTTATTTTTTGGGGGTGGGCCTAATATTACCCCTACCCCAAAAATAAGCCCAGGGGGAATGAGTGTGGCCAGCACGAATGATGGTGCAGGCACAGGGGGCGGTCAACTGTCTGGCTGCAGCCTGCTGGCCCCTTGGAGCAGCACAAATACCACTTTTGCCCTTCTCTTTCTGGCCACAATGCTTCTGTTTGTTGGGACGCTTCCCCGAAGCTAGCAGCTCCGCAGCCAGCTGCTTTGCTTTTTCCCTCTTTTTGGGAAGCTCATGGGAGGCTTTTTGGCGAATGGGAGGAAAATGAGGAGGAGGATTTTCCTGTCTGCCATCCTTCCCTCAGTCTATGCTGAGCTTGAGGAATGGATGACAGGCAAGAAAATCCCCCTCCCCATTTTCCTCCCATTCGCCAAAAAGCCTCCATTCCGAATCCTGAAGGTTCGGAATGGAGGCGATGGTGCATCCACGGCACATCCAGCTCACCGAGTCTGGCCTGCTGCACCTCAAAAAAAGTAAGACCGCCTTGAAAATAAGCCCACGTGCTTATTTTCAAGTCTAAAAGAAAATAAGACTGAGTCTTATCTTCTAAGAAACACGGTACTAACTTAACAACTGCAGTGATTCACTTAACAACTGTGGCAAGATAGATTGTAAAATAGAGCAAAGCACACTTAACTGTCTTGCTTAGTACCGGAAATTTTGGGCTCAATTGAGATTGTAAGTCTCAATTGAGGACTACCTGTATTTTCTTCAACCCAATATACCACGCTGGATTCATTTTATTTATTTATTCATTCATTCATTCATTCATTTTCTGTATTTAACTCTTTAAATCTAGAACTCTTTCGGTCTTTCACCCATTTTTTCTTTGCCATTTTTGCTTTCTTTGTTACCCTAAAGATGGCTAAAATATTGCTAATTCATTCCAGTTATGGTCCATCATTTGAAGGTGATTCTTGGAGTTGGCTATTTCATAGTTTAGAATTCAATGATGTACCCAATTTGCTTTTAGAAAAGTTGAGGACAAACAATCAACTTTTACAATGAAAACTTTATTTGAGGGGTCATTGGTGCTCTCTAACCTTGCTTGTTTTCTTACAGACATTTTATTACTCAAAGTAGGTAACATCAACATGATAAACATGATGATGTTACCTAGTTTGAGTAAATGAAATGTCTGCAAGAAAACAAGCAAGTTCAAAGAGCAGTAACAATCCATCATTTCAATCCTAAACTACAAATATTCTCTTTTATTAAAACTTCATGTTTTTAATTTTTTTAATCATGTTCAATTTTCAAAGAGTTCCTGGACAAATCATTGCACTTTTCTTGGCAAGATTTTTCAGAAGTGGTTTGCCTCCTTCCTAGGGCTGGGAGAAAGTCACTGGCCGAAGCTTTGTTGATCTCACTGTCTCCTGGTTTCTAGCCTGATGCCTTAATTGTATATCAAACTGGCTCTCTCAAAAAACTATTAAATGGTTTTAAAATATATACTAATGAGTACTTTTATGTATGAAGGTATATTAACTAATAAAGCAAATAACTAGTAGACTATTATGAAGTAATTGTTCACAAACAAAAAATATGAGATTTGTAAAACAAGCCTTCAAACAATGACACATTTTATGCTCCCTTATAGCAAACTCTTTTACTGGAACAGCAGCGCATTCATCAGCTCAGAAACTACCAGGCATCCATGGAAGCTGCTGGCATTCCAGTATCCTTTAGTGGACATCGGCCACTTTCTCGAGCTCAGTCATCACCTGCTTCTGCAAATTTTCCATTATCTACACAGGAGACACCGTGTAAGCCACAGTTCACCACAGGTAATATGTGAAAAAAAAATCTCTTGGAATAATGGCAACCCAGCTCTCTTATATCATTTTGCTGGAGTTCCCTGGGGAAGGAAGATCACAAATGCTGCAGATGCTTTGCTAAGGATTCTAGCAAAACTAAATACATTGGTCCAGAAGTGGGTTGCCTTGCTATATATTGTGTGATTTGGATGTTCTTGGCAAGTGTCCATTGATTGATAGTGAAATGTCTTAATTTTGTTTCAGTTAGTACTTGTAGGGGCAGAATAGTTTTTCTTGAGACCAAAATTGTTATAAATAGTTTTGGCGCTGCTCACAACCAGACACCTGAGGTGCCTGGCAAAGATCAGTTGGGGGGAAAAAAGAAGGAGTAACAGAAACGAAATCCTCTAAGTCTGTATACCTGGAACTATCAAGTCCCTTGGAGAAATGATAATATAAGGAAAAATCCAAAAGTATTTTGGCCTAGAACAGTGATGGCGAACCTTTTCGGCACCAAGTACCCAAACTGGAACGCATGCGCATGCATGTGCACACACCGCAGCACCGTAAACCCAAAGACCAGCTGGCTGGCGCATGCATGCCTGTTTTTTGGCCTGTTTTGGCCATTTTGGGGGTCGTTTTTCTGGCCAAAAATGGCCTAAAAAATAGCCTGAAAATGGCCCAAAAAACAGCTCAGAACAGCCCGGAAAACGACCTGAAAAATGACCTGGGTTTTTTGCCATTTTTTGGGCTGTTTTCCAGCACTCCAGCGCCCGCGAAGACCAGCTGGCCTGAGTGCATGTGCGCGCTAGAAATCAGAAGAGCAGCTGGTGAAGGCGCACGTGCTCTGTGTGCCACCTCTGGCATGTGTGCCAAAGGTTCGCCATCACGGGCCTAGAATATAAAGTGAAGGGTCTAGGATAAAAACTTGTGTTCAAAAATTACATTCAAATAATTGTTTTTTATTTCATGAGTTGAAGCTAACTTTTGAAAACTGTATAGGAATCACTTTTGTTTCTTCTTCCAAGTGTTTTCCTGCAAGTGCAAGGTCTACTTTTTTTGGATCAAATGAGTGTTGATCTATTGGTGGAGACAGGAATTGACAACCATCTTGTCACCTGAGCCTGATGTCATAGGTTGGGAAAGATCCAAAGTCATCCAGCCAGCAATCAAGTGGAATTAGAATTCAGGTTTAACCACCAAGCCAAACTGGTTCTCTCTGTCTAAAGAATTATGTTTAGAGCATTTAAGCCTAGATCCCCAGTCAGTATTTCGGTTTTTGAAATTATTTTATACTTGTAATTACAAGTTGTCCGTGACTTAACAAATGTTTGCTAAACAATGATTCAAATTAACAACAACCTCTGAAAGTCAGTTATGACCTACTACAGGGGTGAAATGCTCCTAGTTCGGACCGGATTGCCCGATCCGGTAGCGATGGCAGCGGGTGGTTTGGAGAACCTGTAGCAAAAATCCCTGCCTGCCCCCCCCCATGTCCAACTGAGCCGTGCGATCATCAGAGCCTTTTTTTTTTTACTTTTAAAAGCATTTTTTCTACAACCTCTTCGGCCGAAAAAATGCTTTTAAAAGTAAAAAAAAAGCCTCTGATGATCGTGCAGCTCAGCTGGGATTGTCACAGCCTTTTAAAAGCATTTTTTCAGCTGAAGAGGTTGTAAAAAAAATGCTTTTAAAAGTTAAAAAAAAAAAAAAGTTGGCCACGCCCACCCCCCACCCCCCACCAAGCCATGCCCACAGAACCAATAGTAATAAATTTTACATTTCACCACTGACCTACTATCATTCCACTCCAATGGTCACATGATTTCAATTTGGGCACGTGGCAGTCGACCCACATTTATGACCAGTTGCAGCATCACATTGTCATATGATCACAATTTGCAATTTTCCTGCCAAACAACAGCAAACTTACGATCAGTTAAACTAGATTTTCCCTTACAATTGTGTGAGTCAACTTACGACTGCAGTAAAATGGTTGCAAAATTGGGTCCTGTAATGTGATAACTCAATTTACCACTGCAACAACTTACAACAGAAATCTGTTCACGATTGTGATCCAAAGTCAAGGATTATCTTTAGTCAAAAAGTTTAGTTTATGTGAATATTTGTATTACTTGCAAAATCCAGAGTATTGGTGTAAATCTCTCTATCCTGCTATTATGTTTGTTTTTATAAACATTTGCACACTGCCTATTGCATATGTGTTGGGTAGTTTATAAGAATATAGTAAAATGTATGTGCACACCTTCAGAATCTCTTCCCAAGAAGAGCACATGAGGAAGATTGATTGAAATTTTCTGAAGGTTACAGTTTTAGAGGATCACCAAAATTTCATCACCAAAAAGTTCATCACCAAAATTTTGAATTGGACCTGAAAAATCAGTAACCAATGCTAAGTCTTTTACCACCAGTTAGCAGAAAGACCATTATATTCTTGACCAGCTGCAGCTTCTGTGTCATTTTCAAAGGCAACCCCATGTTGCAGTTTCTTAACAATGATGTAATTAGTTATTGTCCTCCCAGCCTCCTGGGATGTACTTGGCATGCAGTTGGCATATCAGTCAAAGCTGGTCTGGAGCTGTGAAGCCAAAATAAATTCTAACGAATTAAAACATCTATTCCATAATCAATATTCTTGTTTCAACAGATAACTGCAACATCAGCAGTTTTACCAATATCCAGATGATAAAAGTGCATTTCTCTTGCAAAATGTTAGTTAACAATGAGGTGGGCTTGAATAAGAATAAAGTCCTGATAAAGTAGTCATGTAAAAAAGAGTTCTATAGTTTTATGTATCAAGACATAATAAAAAATGATCTGTTCATTAGCAGTTTTAAAAGTATGCAAATACAAACTTGGATGAACATCTGTCATCATTTATTTTACAAAAAGAACATCATTACACTGTCATTAATTATTTTACAAAAAGAAAGCCGAAATGGAGAAGCCATGTGTGAAAAACTAAGTACATCTTATGATTCAGTAGCTTGCAGAGTGATCTGTAGCAGCAATAACTTGAAGTAATCATTTTCTGTATGTCTCTTACATTGTTGTGGAGGAATTTTGGCCCACTCTTCTTTACAGCATTGCTTCAGTTCATTTGAACTCCCTTGAGGTCCCGCCACAGCATTTCAATCGAATTGAGGTCTGGACTTTGACTGGGCCATTGCAACACCGTGGTTCTTTTCTTTTTTAGCTATTATGTTATAGATTTGCTGGTGTGCTTGGGATTGTTGTCCTGTTGCATGATCCAGTGTCGACCAAGTTTTAGCTGTTGGACAGATCGCCTCACATTTGACTCTAGAATACTTTGATATACAGTTGATGGTCCACTCAATGACTGCAAGATGTCCAAAGTATGGCTGCAAAATAAGCCCAAATCTCCCCACCACCATGTTTGACAGTTGGTTTGAGATGTTTGTGCAGATATGCTGTGTTTGGTTTTCACCAAAACATGGCATCATGCATTATGGCCAGACATCTCTATTTTGATCAGTCCTAAGGACAGTGTTCCAGAAGTCTTGTGATTTGTTCAGATGCAAACCAGAGCTGTGTTGCCATGTTCTTTTTAGCGAGAAGAGACTTTTTCCTGACAACTCTTCCAAACAAACTATACTTGTTTAGACTAATCTTTTTGTAATTGTGCTGTCAAGACCTTTAACATTTAACAGGCTAACTGAGGCCTGTGGAGTCTGAGTTGTAACTCTTGGATTTTTTGCAGCTTCTCTGAGCATTGCACAGTCTGACCTTGGAGAGAATTTGCTGAGACGAATGGTACATCCAATCCTGGGAAGATTGGCAACTGTCTTGAATGTTTTCCACTTGCGAATAGTCTTCCTCATTGTAGAATGATGGATTTTAAATTGATGGGAAATGGTCTTATAATGGAATAACAGACCTTGGAGATCTTCAGGTGGGACGGAGCTGGGACACCCAAGCTGCTGGCGGCGGTGGCAGGAGCCACTGAGCAGCCATGATCTCCCCTCCCCAGCCAGCCAACCTTGCCTGACCTAGCCGGCCTGCCCGTGCAAAGCCTCGCCACTCTTCTCGTCCTCATCCTCCCTGCTCAAGCAGCGGCAGGGTCTGTGGGACAATGAAATTTCACATTTCTTCTCTGGCGCAGCAAGTTCCAGCGGCCTGGATGTGGGTGTGAGGGGCCTGGACCCCCATGAAATTGAAGGCTTCATTCCTGCCTCCACACAGTAAGGCCGCTGTGGAATCAGCTGCACGCAGGAACCAACGGAGTCCATGGCCCGGGTGCGCTGCTCGCTTGCATGCGCTGGCCTTACTGTTTGAGGGCAGGAATTAAGCATTCAACTGAATGAGGAGGCACCGTGGGGCCAGGCCCCTTGCACCTGCATCCAGCCCACCAGTGCTCGCCGCGCCAGGGGAGAAGAGGAGGAAGAGGACAAAAGCCGTGAGGCTTTGCGCCAGGCAGGCAGGCAGGCAGGCAGGAAATAGGTCAGCGAAGCTGGCTGGCTGGCTGGGGAGGGGGGATCATGACTGCTCAGGTGCCTCCCGCCGCCACCACCAGCAGCTTGGGTGCCCCAGCAGCGTCTGAGCTGAAGAAAGCAGAGGAGCAGCAGCAGGATTGTCCTAAAAGATAGCTCTGTTTCCAAGGACCCCATTTGCATGCAGATGCGCATTTGCATGCAGGTGGGGTCCACGGGACAATGGGGTCTCATTCCTCCCCTGGCAAAGCAAATTCTGGCAGGCTGGATGTGGGTGTGAGGAGCCTGACCACACAGTGCCTTCACTCAGTTGAAGGCTTCATTCCTGCACTCAAACAGTCAGGCCTGCTCACGCGATCAAGCAGTGCACCTGGGACAGCATTGGTTCCTGCTCCCTTCCTATTCCAGTGACCCTCCTGGCTCTGGCCATGGGGTTGTTGAAGGAGCTCTATCCACAGCAGATTTTAGAAGGCAAGGAGCGTCCCTGCCACAGCTGTGGTGGAAAGGAGTTCGGGGAGAGGAGCAGGAAACAGGAACTGCAACACTTTTCACGCTGAGAAT